CGGCTTAAACGAAATTGACAGTGATAGGTAGAATACAGGAGTTTGCATGAAAGGGGGGGGGGGGGAACCGAAGAATCATCAAACCTAAGTCGCAATTTTCTTTTCTGAAGCTCAAATGTCCATGAATTATTTGCAATGGTCTCAAAATAGAACCCGAAAACCGCCGCCGGTGCGGCCTACTCTTGACGACGTCGATCAGACTCTAACACAGTGAATCCATCAATTCCCTGCCTATCATTCCCGCCGGTGCGGAAGAACTCGGTCATGACCCCAAGAGCATAACACGTCGCTGCAGTGGCTGTGCCTACAATGAGCATTCTGCGACCTATTTCGCGACACAAAGACTTGGGTTTGGTAGTTGGTTCTGGCGAGGAGTTGGAAGACCCCGTTGCTGAAACAAGCTAAGTCGATATGTTAGGAAGCCACCTAATCAGACAGTTCTACTATCTACTCACCATACTGGTGGATTGCCAGGGAGCTCTGGAACATGTAGTGGCGGGGTCCTTTGAGTTGTGGCAAGGATGCCGGGAAATTTCGGCGTGAGTTGCTGGTTGGTCTGTTGCAGTTTCTGAGAGAGTGTGACGAGGGGTGCTTTGAGTCTTTCGGAAGACAAGGATATTGCCTCCCCCGGTTGCAATTTCGTAACCATCTTCTTGCATCTTCTCAAAATAAGGGAGGAATTTGGCAGGGTTTTGCAGTCGAGACAGAATTTCAATTGGCTGACGATGTTCACCAACAGCGAAAAATGAGTCTGCTTGTGCGGCTGAGACTTGCGACGTCGAAGTATCAAAAGCGAGAATATGGAATTGAGGCGAAGGAGCTTGGGAGGCTGCTGGTTGCTTTCCTTTTTCGGCTGAGTCCTGGCTTTCGAGAATGGAGTCATTATTGCGATCTTCGGAAGCATCAAAATCCAGCATATTGGCTTGCACCTTCGCTTCCAAAGGAGTATAACGGGGGCGAATGTCACTAGCATCCAGGGCGGTCACATCCTTATTTTTACTGGGACACTCGGCACTCGCCATCTCAGAAAAGATTTTTGTCTTCAACTCATTCCTAGGTGTATTGTCGACAGCAACTCTGGTCATCTTGGATGTGTCAAGGCTAGTGGGTAGTTCTGGCTGTGACAGGCTTTTCTCAATAGAAGCTGCGTTACCAGCTAACCTGGCCTCTAGTTCACTTCCAGGAGGACAATCAACAGAGGTCTGGGCTTCCGATGGGGTGATTTTATGGCTGGCTGACTCCGATAAAATCTGTGCTTTAATCTCACTACCTGGAGAACACTTAGCTCTTTCTTGAGCGTCTGTCATGGTGGCGGTGTTCGTTGTTTGATTAAAAGGACCGTCGTACTCAAGGCCGAGACTACCGATTTCGGAAGAAAGCTTTGCGTCCACCTCGTTGCCTGGGAGGCAATCAATAGAAGTGTCAGTTTGCTTGCTCGGGGTTTGTGTCTCGAACCCAGATGAAGAACTCTGGACAGCGCGGTTTGCAGGATCAGGCATAAACTTGGCCTCCGGCTCACTTCCCGGGGAACCTTCCAGGTTGGTGCCCGTCACCAAACCAGCATGCAAATCCAGCTTATAAATATCTCCGTTGGCACTGGAGGAGTCCGGCTGAGGCTGTGTAGAAGTAATAGAGTCAGAACCATACAGTGTTCCCAATCCACTTCCAGGAGAGTAATTGATGTTTACAAAGGGACTTCTTTTGGTTTCCTGAGGAACTTGAAGCCTGCCCTGCGCATCCTGAGAGGTGGGGGTTGATGTAAAGAGTGCACCTATATCATCGGCTAGAGTGCATTCAACTGTTGAATGTAAACTCGACGGGGCTTCGGGGCTCCATCCCGTGTTTCCTGGTTGAAACTGTCCATCCTTGGACAAACTGGGGTTGTGAGCGAATTTTGCCTCAACTTCAGTGCCCGGGTGACTGTCAACCACTTTGTAAGTGTTGATTTCTGCTTCCAGCTCACTGGTTTCGAGTGTAGTGGGGGCTGAAATCAGCACCATGTATCCACTGATAGAATCGTACTGCAGTCCAACACGATTGGGGTTACTTCTCGTTTGTCGCTTGTCTACTTTCGGTCTAACATTGCGTGACTTTTCCATACTGATTAGCGACTGGAAATCACTTAATAACGTTTTGTTTTTGCCAAAACTCAGAAAGGGGTCCAATTGGTGCCCGAAGACAGCTTTGTAAGGGTCTGTCTCCATGTGACATTTCAGCAACTCTTTGCGTTTGTGTCTCTGTCCTGAATCCGAATCCCAGAGCCTTCTTTCTCGGCCAGCGGGGAGGTAGGAGAATGTTACCGGAGAAAGCCAAGCTGCCCAGCTCCAGCTTGAGTGTGTGTCATTGGAAGTCGCATTGATGTCACGACAAGTTTCGTGCTTTCGTTGATTGTATAGAAAGTATCGCTGATATCTGTCAGAATGACGTGACAAACGCTCTGTTTTGCTTCCCTGAATGTTTCGTGAACATCGCCTTATACTCCGATTTGAAGTCTGCGTGCCCACCAATTGGGAAGATGCCGGGCAAATAACTCGAGGCCCCGACTTTCTGATTGACGTTGCAGCCGAGGAACTCATGGTAAATCCTTGAGATTGTATGTAGAAGCTCAAGGTGTTGTTAATTCCTGACGACTTATCCTAGCGTTATTGAAGGGCTGGTGATTCTCGCAGCATGTAGGCAATGGCTCTGTCGATCAGATCCACTTGTTGTGTTGAATGACAAGAGGAGCGCTGATCCTGGCCGGGTCTGTCCTGCAGAGGCCTTTTCAAAAACCAAATTTTTTTTGGGATAAGTGGGACAATAAGATTGATGTCAAATCTTCTCGGTCATAGCTGAAGAGAAATGAAAAGGAACGAGGAAGAAGGACGAGAGCACTCCGTACAGCGCTCGGTTTCCCCGCAAAATTAAGTCAGCAGCGTTGACGTCACACTTGGATATCCCGTCTTCTACGCTGTTTGAGGTCACTCTTTGCGTTAACAAGGCAAGTATAAAGTGAAGATACGTTTAAATTTTGCGACCTAAATTTACTTCGACTGAAATAACAAAGGCTAGGATAATGATAAGTCTCGCTCCTCAGGCAACAACACATCCACAGAAGCGTACAAGTAAAACGCAAGAATGACTACACAAGCCAAGGTTAACACAAATGCGCCTCTCCATATCCCATGCCAGCGGTGCAGTCATTTTCTTCACTTCCGATTCCTTGCTGTTCTCCGCAGAAATAATGTCATGCGGCCCTAGAAATCTTTTCTTCTCAGGAAAGTTGACAAATTTCCAATTTCCTTCCATGCTACACAAGATATGCCAATGGTCAACTTGTAAAGTCCAGTCGATGAAGCGACTCAGCTCTGCTTAATGTCGAAGAACCACTCATCGTAGGCCCAGCGACGCGTCATGAACCTATGTTGTACCTGATTTAACAATAGCCTTGACTCTCTCCGGTCGGAAATCCTGGTAAGGTTAAGCTGCAACGATATTTTCACTCGATGGGCTTCTTGTTTGGAAGATGAATAGGCAGCTCGTGGATATGTTTGTGATAATGACCACATCTTCCCATTTCTGTGCAGCCGCCCAGTGTGGAACGGGGGGGTATTAGCGTTGGGCAGCCAGGTCGTTAGGAACCACCTCAAAGCCTCTAGCGATATGGATAAAAAGAAACTACGATCCTTGACAAAGCTACGTTTGAAGGGCGAGGTGATGAGAAATATGCCCCCGACACTGCAAAGGGAAGGTTGCCGGTTAATGTGTGTAAAGACACTGTTATTCTTTATTCTCCCTAATTTAACAACTAATCGTGCTTTCATTCTAAATTATTTACACTGAAAATGAGAATAGTTATAGCCTCGCGATCACATCGTTGTATTGTGCTCCGACCTCGGGAAGTACACGGGACTTTCAACCGACAACGACGGTATTCCCACGGTATCCCCCGCGCCAGCGCGACGCTCAATAACTTCTTCTTGATCGCATTCTGACTCAAATGATTCCGACTCCAATCCTACAGAACATCTAAGCCCACACGTACCCCCGTCAGCCCCAAGGGCGCACCCGTCCCACTCTCAATCCTATCCCAAGGTGTATGGTTGTTAGCAACACGGTCCACTACTCTGGCCAGCTGGAGGTAGACCCGATCACGGGCGACATGGCGGAGGGAACCGTCCAGGACCCAAGAGTTTGAAGAAACGCGATTTCTGATTTGTGAGATAGTTTCTGATGTAAGACCAGCAAAAAATCCTACACAATCTCAACACCATCCTAGAGGCTGGAGGGTCGAGTCTCAACATCTTCCTCACGGGTATGGGTGGTTTCTCAGTGGTAAACGAAGTCTACGCTACTTTTGTCTCGGATCTTAAGCGGGCAAGTATTTACGTGGTCAAAATCATGAGGTTCGAATTCCACAGGGAATATGTTTCGGTCTGGAATCCGTCCTTTTTGTCTTAATCCCCCCCCAAAAATGTGGACCGTTTCTCACAATCATCGGACCTGGCCCTTTGGGGTGCGTAGGGGCATTGCTATCAAGTCACTCCCTCAGGGATCGGATGTCAAAATTGACTAATCTGGCCTGGTTACAAAACTTGGCCATGGACGCAATTCTAGACTTTGAACGGGACAGGGATGACGACGTGGAGAATGAATAGGGCAGACAACTCCACTTGTGTTTCAGCAACAATCAAATAGGTGCGTCACATGATCTCTGTATAGTTTACAGCCTGGTTGGAAATAATACGAAAGCACGGGTAGTGGTTACGTGTAACTTTTGTTCGGCGATTTTCAATTTAAAACAGGCTGAAACCAAGGATGAAGGGTGGAGACTGAAGCTGTAACGCTCAGGAACAGGGTTAGCGCCTGTACTCGTCCATGGTGCTCCGTACAAGTTGATGAGCCCCTGGACGTTTGTTGTATAAAAGGCTCTTAAAGGACCAGGAGAATCCATGGACATTTCTTTTTGTACATGCCTTCAGCGAAGAGAATCAAATCTTGAGCTGACCTACGGAGTATAGTCGCTACTGGGTCATTCAAAGAGAATGTGGCTGGGTCAGCTATAATTAAACCTGTGGAGCTTGTCTCTCGCATAAGCGTGTATGTTGTATGCTCCGTTCGTTGTTCCTGCATTTCTAAAAGCTTGTTGATCTCGAGGATCCATACAGTATGCAGCCACAAGACTGTGTAGTACTAGATGAAGATCAACCGAATTTAACTGAAGAAGATATGCTGGGATTTCTCGGATCAATTGATCTAATGCTATTTGGCATCGGTAGGCACAATCTCAGACACGCTAAAAATGCTAAGCATCTGAAACTGACGACAAGATCGAGGGGAAATCGCAGTTGCCTACTCCATTCCGATCGGGGCACGTGGTGTTGACAAATATTTTTTTAGAACTTGAAAGCTCAATCAGTTCGGACCCAAGTCTTGTCGAATACACTATGAGCAGGTGTTCGTGTCAGTTAATCTTTATTAATCTATAATTCTGGAGACAAACGCTAAAATTTCGATAGAGTGTGAAACATTCTTAACATCTGCCGGGTTTCAATGACCCAATTTTGACTCAGGGCTCATCCCCTACTTCCATTGTGGATAGAACTAGTCGTGATGTCGCACAGCGTGACTCGCCAATCCAGCTCAGGTAATTTCCTATGTCTCATGGAACCTCAAATGGGAGAAGCAATTTATGGCTTGTTCACAGAATGTCGGACAACTCTTTTGCTAAAAATGAAAGCACTCTGTTCGGCTAGTCAGCACACCCACGCGGAATTTCTTTGTAGATTCTAAGCTAAAAGGAGCTAAGTGGACAAGATGAGCTTAAGCCATAATAATCTATGGCATTGTGAGCCGGGTTATCTGGTCAAAATTGGCCTGTGCATGACATAGGTAAAGAAGCTGTAATTGGGGCCACGCACTTCAAGAGATTCCCGACACGTTCAGGTACGCGTGTGGGAGGGACCCACTTGGTTGACGCCTCCGGGCTAGACCCTGCGACGGACTAAACTTTAGGCACTTGTCAGACTTTTTCCTTTTTTATATTGGCTAAAGTGGATTTAGCCCTAACTCCATTATGGATTTCTTGCCGTCAATAGTCTCCAGGGCTATTTATCTATTAATTGATCAGCTCATAGGAACAATGCTGTGAGACCTTAGGGATAGCAGAGTTTTGGTAGGTGGTTTTTTTTTCTCGAAATAAGTACTGCCATCACTGCCTTGAACTGTTTAAAAACTTAATTTTCGCTCTTGCATCTGATTTTAAATGTCTATACTTCGGACTCCGCTTCGGAAAATGAATTTCATAGTACCTGTATCATTGGTATTGTAGGTTATGAGTTGAGTAACTACTTATTTCAGACCTGAAGGTTGATTTATAATCCCCTTCTCATTAATTGTCGATCTTGAAATTGGCAATCGCCGGATTGTGCTCTAGATTTTATGGTTGCACATACCAACGGCGTAACAGGAAAAGGAAAGGGACATGTCACCTGAGTATATTGCATAGGCTAAAAAGGGCTTCAGTCAGATGCATCAGTGCATACAAGGCCACCCTGCACCTTTCGGGAATAGGCTCATGATTTTCCCGATAGACGTTCATTATTAATCATGGGTTTCTGCATGGCATGACCCATGAGTGCCGTAATGTGAAAAGTCCTGGGTACATTGCCTAACTGCGTTGTCTTGGCGACATAGTGCCGGTTAGTGTTTAGTTAGATACATGGTTTCAGATGAGGGCATCGGGACACCTTGACTTGGAAAGTTCCAAATGAGCTTTTAAGTACTTTGCATTATGGTATAGATAACGGAAGTTGATAATCAGATCAGGATAGATGATTTCAACCTACAAAATGGTATGTTCAACATTAGAAATTGGAACAAGTGCAAAAACAGCGAGTACAACATAGAAATCACAAACAAAAAAATTTAAACGCTCAGGGGTAAGTGCGTGGCCACATGCCATGCAGCTGCCAAACACCCGGACCAGCTTATTAAATACACTAAAATACGTAATTTACTGTAAATTACCCTTGTTGATGCTGCCACAACGTGTCCCGGCCCCCCCCCCCCTCCCCCATTCCACCTTCCCCCCCTAATGATGGAGTGATCCTCCTTCTTCTCTGATCCTCAACTTCATTCACTCATTTACTCCTTTCTTTCACTCCCTTGTCTGTATTTTCTGTGTTCGCCTGTTGACCCTCAACGGCGGTTGTGACCTGGGCTAATTACCCCTTGCATTGGTCACTCGCATTGCCTGTTTTCCCTTTCTTTGATCTCGTAGCCCGGACGGTTCTACAGAAAGTTGTTGTTCGCTCCTTACAGCTTTTCTAAGCCCACACTCGTTTGTCGCCTTTTGGGGGTCGTTTCAGATTTATTGAAATCCCTCTTTTCATTCGTTTATTGTCAATTTGTTTTTTCTGCACCTATTCGGTCTCTTCTGTTGTCATCGAGACGTTAGATCCTCTGGGTATAATCTTGAAATTGTGAATTTATCAGAATTGTCCGAGGTCTGGTTGTGTTGGAAACTCGAAAATTCCAGGCGATCTACCTGTTCCCACACCCCCTGATCTTTCATGAGGTGTTGCCAGACGGTGTTTGTCGCATTTTTACACACTGACCTTGGACCCCCTCCGAGCTATTACGTACAGAATCATTCAAGATGCGTCCTGACGCGATCTCCATTCTCGCAGCCTTACTCGCTGTAGGCAGTCTTGAGCTCGTCGTAGCTCAAGATGCCCCCGAAGCGCATGTTCAGCGGCCCCGCTGGTACTTCCCGCAGGAAGTCAAACGAACGATTCGCAGAAGCGCTGGGTCCAACCCTGGCTCCATCCTCAACGGTACATTCGACAACTTCACTCATACCCAGGTTACTTTATCCACGACTACTCCCATCCCCGAAACTTCCGCCTCGGCTCAGCCCGCGAAGGGAAAGGATGTCGTTGTGACCGTCTCGGTTGACCCCAAGAACCCCGAGATCACCCACCGTATCACTGGGACTACGACTAATGGCGGTGAACCAACTAGCACTACTACCGCGACTACGAAGGCGAAGATGACAGATGGTTCGAGCACCGAGAACACCACCAGGAAGAGCTCCGAGGCCGCGTCTACCGATGCGGAAACCACGAGCAAGCAGGGGTCGGAGGTTGACCCATCAGCCAAGGCTTCGACTACATCTAAGTCTCCTTCAACTAAGTCTTCTTGGACCACAAGCTCTAGCGACGCTCCCCTTGGCGGTTTGACCTCTGGTTCAGGAAACCTCCGAGGAGGTAATTCTACAGCCTCAACCGTGAGCACATCTGCAACGGCAACCACGCTCTCGGCTGTGGGCACATCTGCAACGGCAACCCCGCCTCGACTGTGAGCACATCTGCAACGGCAACCACGCCCTCGGCTGTGAGCACATCTGCAACGGCAACCCCGCCTCGACTGTGAGCACATCTGCAACGGCAACCACGCCCTCGGCTGTGAGCACATCTGCAACGGCAACCACGCCCTCGGCTGTTATCACTTCCGCAACTGCAACCACATCCTCGTCTGCTAGCCATACCTCAGATCCATTGTTTAAGGTAACTTCGCCTACTTTTTCTACTCCTGCTGCATCCCACAGCGATGGTCTCCTTGGTGGCTCGACCTCGGGATTGGCCAACGTTTTGGGCGAATCAACAACCAGCAGCTCCGTCTTTGCGACACCCACTGGTCTCTCTAGCGCCAACAAGATCAGCAGCGCAGCCTCAGGCATGGCAAGCTCGGGTTCGGATCTCGCTGGCCTTTGGGGCGTGGGTGGCAAGTCTTCCACCGGCAACAGCACAAGTGCTACTGTGTTCCCGGTTGCTTTGAGTTCACCTATCATCCCAGTCAGCGTGCCTGCTTCCGCTACCAGCTCGCTGTTGTCCATACCCACCCCCCATGGAACTACAACTTTTGGTGATTTCGTCGGTAGTCCCGTGCCGAGCGTGGATTCTGTGCCTGGTGTCACCTCTGCTGGCATTGGTAGCACTGCCTTAATTCCGACTGCGTCTATGCCAAATGGAAGTCTTTTGCCGGCCAAGTCGACTGGCATCATTCCTGGCCAGGCAGGTACCAACAACGGTGCCATCCCCACCCCGGCCAAGACCCTGGGATCAATTCCTGTCCCACACTCGCCAGGCTCCGATTCTACCTCAACTTCCGTGTCTGGAACTGTCTTTGGCTCTAGTACCCCATCGGCTCCTTTGCTGGGCACTAGTGCTATCTCTTCTGTTCCCTACATTGGCTTTCACGACAGCTCCAAGGTTCCTATCCCCACTTCTCACCCAGCCTCTACCCCGCTTCCCTCGTCAAATCCATCGACTTCGTCAGTTGTGTCCACTCCGTCAACTCCGACGACTTCGACGAGCGAAGAAGTGGGCACGGCCAAGACCACTGTGGAGCCTCAGACCCCGACAGAGGCGCCTACGCCGCCCACCGACAACAACAACAACAACGACGACAACGACAACGACTGGATGCCATCGACCATCCTTATCATGCCCACCGTCACTGCTACCGAAAATTCGACCTCCGGCCAGATCGCGAAGCCCACGGTACCACCCTCGCTCCCTGGCTCTATTACTCCATCGAATGAGGTTACCGAGCCTCCGTCTGACTCCATCTTGCTCCAGCTTGGTTTCAATAACCAGCTGCCCTGGTCATTTGTTGCAACCACTCCTTTGTCCTCGTCGCAGATCTTTAACTACACCCCGCAAGCTATTGAGAACGCTCTGCCAGCCCTCTCTGCTAAGGACGGCCCAGTTATGTTTGCTATTGAGCCTTATTACAACTGGCAATCGACAGGTTACAACGCCACTATTGCTATCTTCTATTTCGCTCGTGACAAGGTCGATGCCCTGAAAGCGCTCAAGGTCAATCCCAACTCTGCTCTCTATACCCAGGCTAGCGAATCCCTCCATTCACTGATGGGGATGGTTGACCCCACAATTCCCCTCGAGTTCTCAGGAAACTACCCTAGTGGTAATATCGACTCGACTGGCGGTAAAGACAAGGGTGGCAGCGATGATGGCTCAGGCAGTGGCAACAACGAAAATACCGATGGCTCTGCCGGCACCTCCACGGCTCAGGCTAGCTCTGTTGGAATCGGAGTCGGTGTTGTAGCCGGTGCTGCCGCTTACGGTGCGGGTATGTTCTGGGTTGCCCGTCGCTACCGCAAGAGAAAGCAACTGCACCAGCGCTCTAGCTCAACCGTTGAGCAGATGAGCCAGGGAGGTTCCGCCGCTGGTACGATGTTCGCTGCCGGTGGCCGTGCCCCCAGCCATGTTAGCCGTGGAACCGCTCGCTCGCAGATGATCAGCGCTCCCGTTATGGCGGAGAACTCGCTAGGATGGAACTAGACATGCTTTTGGAAAATACGACGTATTAACCACTCCTTCCATCACACCTCACCTCCTTTTGGACTATACAACAATCAATCAGAGGGCATTTTGCCTTCGAAGACTCTTATCGCTCTCCTGAGATAACTGCTCCTTTCAACGTGCTCATGCTCTCCCACTCTCCAACCGAGGCAGGAACAGAGAGACTGCACAAAACTTCATTTTCATTGTCCATCATCCGCCAAGGATTTACATGTCACATATCACGTATCTCTTCGTTCTGTGCAATTTTTGACCAACCACTTTTCTTCTCAGCATGATACTCTGAGTGACAACTGGCTGTCGCTGCGTGTGTTGTGTTCTCATTTTCTTATTTCTTTCTTGACATATTCCCCTTTTGTTCACCAAATGTTTTTTTTATCCCTTTACTCCTTTCAATGGCACTGGGACTACCAAATTTGGGACGAAATCTTTTCTCTACGTTTGGCTTCCACTTGAAAGCTCTCTTATGAACTATTGGTCATTCAAACTTTGAACTTGCACATTAATAATGGATTTGGGTGGCATCTTATTGACAGAGCCTATGGTTTCCCCCCTCCCCCCCTCTTGCCCTTACTTCCTCTCTCTCCTTGCCTCTCTCTCTGTCCCTTCCTGTCTCCACGACACTCCATGTCTCTCCGTCTCGTATCTCAATTTTGTCTTTTTGTTTGGTTTCTGCGTTTCTGCGTTTCTGCGTTTCTGTACAGATGTATGAAATGTGCCCAAGTGCCAGATGGCCTTGTAGATGTGGACTAGATCCTGTCAATGAGACGAGTAGATCTCTTTGAATTTTTCTCCCTCCAAAACTGTCTTTTAGAAGTATATTGGATTCAACACTTGCGGAAGACGAGCTTCTTCGGTCTAGGATATCCGGGTCCAATTCCAAATCAGATTAGTAACGTTATTCTTGATCCTGATACGTTCTGTTCCTTGCTCTGACGTTAGCTACTGTGGAGACTAACTCACTTCCAGTTGGATGGCAGGATGGCTTTAATCAACGGGACACCTGGGACATTGTTCTGTATGGTCTGACCACCATCACTACCTGGAATATCCAACATCTAAGTGTTCCACAGCCATATCATGATAAAATCCTCAGATACCTCAATACCTTGGCTTTTGCATCTTTCAGGTTATATCCTACATTTTAACATTCTTTCAGATCATTTTTAAGAGACTAATTCAACATGAATTTTCGGGACATTGCGTTAATGGCTTAAACTGGGGTCCAATGTAAGAAAAATTTAAAAAAAAAGACGTGGATGCTTTTGTGGCCAAAGTCGATTGAATCTAGCTCCCTCCATTTTCTTCGTCCAACTCTCCTTTAATTCGTTTCTTTCCTTCTTCTTTCAAGGCTTGATCGTCTGCTCGGTTCAGACCAACCTGAGGCATCAGCCATACAGCTAAAAAGAAAGCAAATGTCGCAAGGGATGCACCGGCAATGAAGATGATACGGAATCCCTTTTGATAGGCCGGTCTCAACACACCACGGACATGATCGGCATCTGCGGCAGATAACTTTGAAAGATAAGTCTGTGGACTTGATAGAAGAGAGCGGGACTGAGATTCGTCGAGACTGAGGACTGAGATGGACGACGAAACAATGTTATTTCTGTGTAAATTAGTGCTTGAACAAGACACTGGATTTGAAATCACTCTTACATGAGAGTGCCAGCAATAGCGAGCCCGACAGTGCCGCCGAGGTTTCGCACGAAGCTGCGTATTGTTAAGCTCCAGAAAATGGCTAGCATCTCTATGGGTATCACTCACTTCCTGAATGAGGTGATCACAGCCATATCCCGTCTTTCAACACCGGCTTGAACGGCAATAAGAGATCTGAAGGAATTTAGTGTAGTTAGATGGGCCGAGAGAGAGAGTATCACGTACGGCTGCAAAGTATTTCCAACCCCGACACCAGTCAGAATGCCATATCCAATCTGCTTTCCTAATCCCGAATGTTGATCGAGCGTTGAGAAAAGACCCAGACCAATAGCCCAGATAATCCATCCAAAAAGGATGCATTCACGGTATCGACCTACCCAGTGTACAACAAGACCAGAGCCTGTACTGCTGATTGCTGTGAAGGAAGTCAGCATTGCAACACAACCGAGACGACGAAGATTCATACTTTGCATGAGAGTAATGGGAAGCAGCATTGCAGCCGCTTTTACCGTCGAGTATCCAAATACCAGCTGATAGAAAGTGGGAATATAGTATACTTGCACCAGAAAGTTCCACCCGTTGATGAACATGGTCAAACACGCACCGTTCACGATCCTACCCTGGAAGATGTGGATCGGAACCAGCGGTGTCGACGCGCCCTTCCACTGCCACGCAACAAATGCAACAGAGATGGTAAATCCAACGACCAGAGTCACAATGACATGTGCCGATTTCCATTCATACTCGCCGCCACCCCAAGTCAAACCAAGCAGTAAGACCGAAGTTCCCCCGAGAGCCAGAAGCGCACCAAAGAAATCAATGGCCTTGAGCTTGACTTTCCAGTTGCCTGTGACTTTTCGAAGTGGCATAAAGAACAAAACAGTCAACGTGGTTAATATAGTGAGCGGAAGGTTCAAGCGGAAGATCCATCGCCATGAGTCTTCTGAAATGGAGGCTAGTGCGCCTCCGATGATAGGGCCAATGCCATTAGCAATAGCAACGACAGCACCTAGAATACCTTGATATTTTCCTCGTTCACGTAGAGGGACAACATCGCTGACGATCATCTGTGCGACCGTCATGAGACCACCGCCACCAACTCCGGTGAAAGCACGGAAGACAATCAATTGCGTGGCTGTCTGTGCAAGGGAAGCAGCCAATGAACCGATGAAGAAAATGGCTAGGCCAACGACGAGCACAAGCTTGCGAGACCAGATGTCGGATAGTTTTCCATATAGCAGTTGGGAACAGGTTGATGTACTGCACGACGTTTAGTTTGACTGAATAATTTCTAAACTACCCAGAGCAAGATATACTCACACGAAATAACTGCCCGAAATCCAGGAAGTTTGGTTGCTGGCTCCCAGTTGGTTCCCTATGACAGACACACTGGCTGCCAGGGTCGTCTGGTCCATTAACGCTAGTAGATCAACGCTGGAACATGCTAGGAAAATCTAAGAGTGACATTAGCTGGACCATCTGTTGCTTATCACTGCATCCACTGACCGTGATAATCGTACGCTTAGGCACATAATTAGTTTGTTCGTTGAAAATGACATCAGTCCCATTCTTCTCAATCGCGAGATCCTCTGCTGGGGTTGAATCCTTGAGCACCCCTGTCATAATGCACTGATATCAAAGGGATCGAAAGTAACTCATAGACCCCCAGGAACTCAGGAGAAATAGAAAAGGAGACAAAGGAAAGAAGCGTTTCAAGGCGGCAAAGCGGAATGATCAATCCAATCTATGGAGTTATCACTTCGTCGTGCATCATTGATCGGCGTTCAGTTTGAGCAACTTGCCAGAAGATCTGTGTGTCAAAGTTGACAGAACCTTTCAAGCCCTCTCGTCGATCCACATTTCAGAATATCTTTTAGCTAGCAGATGATTCATTCCTGAGGACCTTGCCAAACCATGTAACACATGAACAATCTAATTCTAGAACGTTGCAAGGTACGACGTCAAACATGCCAGAGAATGACGCAGCTACAAGTGCAAAAGATTCCGTTTTCAACCGTTCTATATCTAACTTCTGTGACATGGAGGCTTGGCTTGCGGGGTCTGATCTAGTCCGTACACTTGGACAGTGTCGATATCCCCGAGATCGCTCCACTCGAGTTCCATATTCGTAGTAGCATCTTAACAGGGGTTGCAGAGTCCACCTATGGCATTTAGCCCTCATCTTGAGTCGTGTGGCGAGATACTCACCAGTGGAGCGTGGGTAGATCGTACTTTCCTGCTCGAACGCCAAAGACGGAACATGGAAGCGCATGTGATGGAGGGTATAGAAATTCACTCTGTTTAATTTCCCATTGTGACCTGGGACTCTATCTTCTCTCGGATCTGTTTTCATCTCTCGAGAAGGTTGCTCTCCAAACACATGCAGTACAGATTGTCTGCTCCTCGACCATCCGCATCTAAGTTTTGCACCAAGTGTGTCTCAACAAGCTGATAAATTCTTCCAAGAAAGCGACCAGTATGAACAAACACAACGTATACGTCGGTACTGACTCGCTGAAGAAATACTTCGACCCAGACTGTCAGCCTCCTTTGCCTCTCGTAGAGCTGCCACCTTATTTGAACCCTTACGATCAAGATGGGGTACGGATCTATGCCAAAATGATGACCATGCATCCGGCCAACAATGTTAAAGCAATGCCGGGTAAGAGAAGTCCTAGGAGAATACCAATCACCAATTGCAAGCTGACACAACCCCAGCATTGAACATGCTCGAATCTAGTGTTGTGCCTGGCGAGACTGACAGGATCATCGAATACAGCTCCGGATCCACAGTAATTTCAATGTCAATGGTCGCCCGAGTCATGCACGGGGTAAATGACACCCGGGCCTTCATGAGCAACAAAACCAGCAATGCAAAACTGAAGCTGATGCAATTTTTCGGTCTCGACATTACCTTGTTTGGTGGACCATCCCAACCAGAGCCGTTAGACAAACGAGGCGGCATTCAAAATGCCCGAAGAATGGCTCTGGAGTCCGCGACAAGTGTTAACCCCAATCAATACGAAAACAACAACAACTGGCAGTCCCATATCCGATGGACCGGACCACAGATCTTCAAGCAATTACCTGAAATCAACGTTCTCTGCGCTGGTATGGGCACCTCTGGCACCATGACCGGTCTAGGAACCTATTTCAAAGACGTCAAGCCATCTGTTCATCGACTTGGTGTTTGTACAGCCCCTGGTGACCGGGTACCTGGGCCTAGGTCGTATGCTCTACTGCGCCCTGTTGAGTTTCCCTGGAAAGCAGCGGTAGATACCATCGAGGAAGTTGGGTCGGTCGAGTCATACACTCACTCCCTGAATCTATGCCGAGAGGGATTGGTGTGTGGCCCATCATCCGGATTCAACCTCCAAGGACTCTTCCAGATGCTGGCAAAGCGCAAGGCTGCAGGAACCCTGTCCGAGCTCGCAGGGCCGGACGGCACAACCCATTGTGTATTCCTCTGCTGCGACCTACCGTATCAGTACATTGATGAGTACTTCCAAAAGCTGGACGAGCAGCAATTTCCCCCAATCCGAAACGAGGTAAATTTCACGTCCATGACGTCTTGGCTAGCCCATTTAAGAACAAAAAGGACAATTGAGCAAACGAGCTAATAGATCCACTATTCTCCAGCGCCTGACAGAAGTTGACCTGCATCGATATGATGAGAGCTGGGAGCGGGATGCATTAGAGGTCCTGCCCCAATTTTATGGATCACCGCGATCCCTTGCGCAAAGACTATTGAGCAAGATTGTCCTCAAGCCGCAGAACCGGGTTCTGGATCTGCGCCAGCCAGACGATTTCTCTGCGTGGCACCTCCCTGATTCGATTAATCTGCCATTGTCGAGTATTGGGCCTCACATCCCGTCACCGTTTTCGGATCCGGGTGTTCTGGAGGCGCAATGGGTGGAGTTGGAGAAGATATTCAAGGATGACGTCTTGGTCTCAGATCTGGGACGGCATCATGTTCTCGTGGTATGCTACGATGGGAATTCGGCACGCGTGGCTACCAGCGTTCTTCGAGCGAAGGGCCTCGAGGCAGACAGTGTGCGTGGAGGTTACCGTGCGCTGAGAATGTGTGAAATCGGGAGTGAGAACCCGATATCCACTGCCAAGGGGCCTATTACAGCTACTGTGTCTGTTGAAGTGGTTCCCCTTGAACAGAGAACCTAAGACTCAGAATCATCGCGCAATTGACTGGAATGTAGGGTTGGATCTACCATGTGAGGCGCTAGTCCCGATGCAGATATCTGCCTCAATTTCTTCTTCTTTTTTTTTTTCCTACTGTTTTCGGTTATTCCATCGCTTTGTGATTTAGTAGATACTACCTTATGACTCTTTGATAATATTCCGACTTGTTTCCATATCTTCTCACACGTAAGAGACCAGTGTTCATTATGGCTCTCGAGAGTGCTCCGCATGCGTTAAACAGCTACTAGGAAGATTCGGATGAGATTGATACATCCTTGCATGATATTTGACTAGGGGGAGTAACCCAAATACAACGTCAGATGTCAGCCCCAAGTATCGAGCGCAAATGTGCTCTAGTCCACTGGGCCTTTATTCCAACCAACCACAAGGCTTCAAGGGATTGCAGACCCCATCTCCCCACGAAATGTGCTCAATTGTGAGCAGATCCGCTCGGGGACTGAACTGAAAGGGCCCACAGTCTGACAGGCACAAGGAGAAGAAACGAGATATCCCTGTTTTCGGTTCTACCATCCAAGCACTTACTTTAGAATATCATCCCTTATGTCTTGAGGTTTGAATTCCCTTGGCCATTGTAGGTGTTGGTATCAATTACTTTCGGTCGCACAAAATGATGGACATGAAGATGGCCCATGGCACGCCCTGGCTCGATCAGCCGGTGATGCTTCATTCGTCTCGCGCCGACAAATGCAAACTGACCGAAGCTCAATGTCTCTATCGCAAATCTCATTGGCGATACTGGTATGCGCCTTCTTCCAAGTTGTCTACACGTGTATGTGCTGATCCGAAATCTGCTCTAGGTACCAAGCCGACCATGTTTACGCATTGAATACCGTCTACTTCATGTGCGCGGTGATTGGAGTGTTCGCGATCTCGAACTTGCTCGTACGATTCGCTCCAGATAGAGTGAGACGGACCAGACCATGGCGTATGTTCACTTCTGCCTCACGATACTTGTCCTATCGTGGATATCGATTGCCTACGCTAGGGTATTGGTCTCCAGCATTGGGCGTGGTGATTCTGGGCGTTGTAGGCGTTGTCTTCTTTTTGGGTGGGGGGTTTGGATTTCCGACGGTGTGACGAGGATGGTGACTGACCTCTTTTATAGCGATGACACTTGGCCCGCAACCTTACTACTGGCCGACAGATGCTTCTTATGGAAGTAGTCCTCCAATTGCGACTCGATCGGGCTGGATGGCTCTTGCGCTGCTTCCATTTGTACTGTGAGTGTAGGGTTCTGAGCATACGATTCGGTTGCTGACCTCCTTTTAGGGCACTGAGCACAAAAGCCAACATGATCTCTGGTGTGACTGGGATTCCGCATGAGAAACTTCAAGTATTCCATCACTGGACTAGCTATGCGATGTTTGTGTTGGCCTTGATTCATACATTTCCCTTCATTGTATATCACATCTGGAAGGGGGATATGATGCAGAAGTGGAAGACAAGTGTCGTCTACTGGACGGGGGTCGCTGCTCTCCTCTCACAGACATATCTAACCCTTATGTCTTTACCATGCATTCGGTGAGATCATAATCAACCTCTCTACTAGGAGATGACATCTTAACTCTTCCACAGCAATCGTTTCTACGAATTTTTCAAAGCCACTCACATCTTCATGGCGGTAGTGTTTATCGTGTTTTTATTCCTTCACTGCGACTTCCGGCTCTCTTCTTGGTATGTTCGACTCCAATGAGCCCCATGATGACCCTGCATTGACACAAATCAGGGACTACTTCATAGCCTCGGGCGTAATCTACTTCTTAAGCCTGATAGCTAGCCACGTCCGTACCTATTTAATGCACGGTATCCACAACGCAACTCTCGAACTCCTTCCTGGTGGTCTTGTCCGCGTTGCGGTCCCATCAATCATTAAATGGACCCCAGGCCAGCACATCTTCGTGCGCTTCCTCACAACAGACCTACACCTACTCACTGCCCATCCCTTCACCATCTCCTCCGCATGTCGCAATCCAGACGAAATTGGCAAAGCCTCGGAATTAGTATTCTACATCAAGCCACGTGGCGGCGTTACCGGTCGCCTCAGAGCAATGGCAGCCAAGAATCCAGGCTGCACGAAGAAGATCCTGATAGAGGGACCGTATGGCGGCATCAGTGCACCGCACATGGCGCAATTCGACACGATCCTGGTGATAGCTGGCGGTTCAGGAGGCGGATTCTCACTTGCCATGGTAGACGAAGCTCTCCGGCTGACGGGCATGAACGCATCGGCAAGTGAAATACGAGCACCCTCCTGGCAGAACCTCCAGGTTGTCTTCTCGACACGCGATCACGCCATGGCAGATTGGTACATCGAAGAGATCGAATCACGGCTCTCTGAATCGACCATGTTATCTGCAAACTCCAAAAACCGTTTAGAGACTGCGGTGTCTGTGCATGTCACTGACCAGATAGAATCGGGGACTTCCTCGGCTTCGGAATCTGGTGATGTTAAGTGCACGGCTGACAAGGTGCGGCCGGCTGAGATTAGTACCACAGGTAGTTTCAGTTTGAATGTTCACCGCAATGCTCGGCCCGATATTTTTGGACTGGTTGCGCGCACTGTTGCCATGGCACATGTTCAAGGAACGCACCTTCGGAAGAAGCAGCGGGTTGGGGTTTTGGTTTGTGGTCCAGCTTCTATGCTGCATGACACTCGGAATGCGGCAGCTTTGGCACAGACCAGAGTGTTTGGGGGTGAGGTGGAGGAGCTGTATCTGCATTCCGAGTCTTTTGTGTAAGTCTTTGGCTTCCTTTCTATATCACGACAATCGGCTAAGTGGTTTCGACAGGTGGTAAGGGGTGTTTGACCTGGAGCATGATCTGCTGGGTTGATCTGACTCTCTTTCGATTCTTTCTATGGACCTATTGGTTGCTATCGAGTACATGTTGTGCTTCTATCCAAGACGTAATATTTGCTGCAACCATAAAAGATCCCAATAAGTACTTAATTTTTTTTTACAAAATTAATGTCAAAATCCAATGAAAACCCAAGTCACTGACGGACGAGACCTCAAATCAAGACTAAATCCTGAATCTGCAATAAATGACAAGTGAATACACAGCAATCTAAGTATGAACTAAATGGTACAGAGAAAGACACCCGAAACAATCACCGGCCAAATATAAAACAAAGTCTGGGGATATGAAACACCGAGGCTAACGTCTAAAAACCAACAATAACGCCGAGCATTAACCCCGTAAGGCTGAGTGGAGAGATGAGGAAGAAATGGGAGATCAAAAGATCCACCACGAAAAGCAAATATAAACATAAAACGAAACGAAAATGAAGAGATCATCAGGTCATTAGCCAAGCGAAACCCTACCTTTCACCCTTCCCAGGAATCAGCATATTGCTTGATATCAAATCCAATTCCAAATCAGTCTCCCCTCTCAACTCTCTTCATCAAGGAATCCCTCATCCGCACATTAACCACACCACCAACCCCGTACGCAGGAACAATCTTCCCCATGCGCGCAAAGCAACTAGGCACATAGTCACGACGAATCCGCGCCGCTCGTTCCATCCAATGCAGACCACCGACTGGCTGTCGGTTATACAGATCCAAACCGAGGAGGTGCATGGGCGTACTCGCAAACTGCATAGCAGCGGGACAGGCGAATTGCGCGATGCTGGATTTCATGGTTGGGCTTGAAGTGAGGAAGTCTGGAACCGAGGGCGCGATGAGGGCGGGAATGTTGAAAGAAGCCCAGATTGTGATGCTGTCGCGGAGACAGAAGAGACCGTAGGAGACCTTTGGCATTTGGAGGGTTGGTGCTGTGGGTGAGGAGGGAGGAGGAGGAGGTGGTGGTGGTGGTGCACGGAGAGCGGAGCTGTACTTCGGTGCGACTGGGCTTTTGTTGATGGTGCTGTTCCTAGCTGGCGATTCGGAGGGAGGAGAGGCACCGAACATTTTGGCGAAGCGCGCGTCTTTGTAGACGCAGATCGTCATGTTGACTATTGTTGTTGCGAAGAATTTGGGGAGGCCTGTGTCGATGGCGTTATAAGACTGGTTGTGAGTTGTTGACCTAAGGGTGTCGATTGCGTTCGCCGTGAGGTAGGTCGAGGTATATAGGGTGTAGATGAGGATGAATGGGGTGGTGAAGAAGAAGCCGCTGGGTCGAGCGACCATCGATCGGAGGCAACTTTTGATTGTTTGGCCGATAGGGAAGCCTTTAGATGCTTTTTCCATGATTGCACTGTCGGGATTAGTCTTGTGACTAGCATCTGAGAGCTGTGATATCTACTCACCGATCAATGACGGTGATCAATGGGCAGGTCAGCACGCCGGCCGTTGCTGCGCTAGCGACATCGACGCTAATTCGCTTGCCCAGATCCTTGGTATTCCACGTTGAAGCTGTGGAGCGTTTGCTGGGGGCCTGTCCTTGATGTTCCTGACCCTGTTCCTGCTCTACTGCTGCCATTGTAAATATTGCATCTTGCGCAACAGCATCCGGATTCATGCTCATATCGTATGGACAAGAGAGAGGCCATGCATTAAGTGACAATCAAATGAAATCTTATGGATTACAAATGCGAAATCTGAGAGACTATTATTTCTATCGTTGGTCTCCCCCAGCTTCGGACGAGAATGACCCGGGCGCGACCCGGCGCCGACTCTCCGATGCCGGCCTGATAAGCTTATCGGCTAAACGCTGTTCCAGCGTTGTCGAGATAGGACATCTACGATTTGAAACGGAGTTCCAGGTGACAGATTTGCTTCATAATACTCTTATTCTTGTTGTAGAATCTCCGAACGCCAAATACCAGTATCTTAAACTACATCTCTAACGAGCCTCAATACCATCCATAGTGACATTGACCGCACCAGCTTGCACCAACTAAGAAAAAAAAAGAGGTTAGTAGAAATCCAAATATTGCAAAAGAATACACAGAATACATACCGCTCGTTCTAAGTCGTCAATCAAGTCATCCGCATCCTCAATACCAATACACAACCGGATCAGGTCTTCGGGGAACGCACGTTCCGCCCGCGTCTTAGCGTCAATGCTGGCATGACTCATACGGCACGGCATACTGATCAGACTGTTGACACAGCCAAAACTGACACTGATGGCAAAAATCTTGGCACTCTCCACAATGCGCTCGCTAATGGCCGTGTCACCGGTCTCGAACGAGAGGACAGCACCGGCGCCCCGCGCCATGGAATTGTGGAGTTCGTACTGCGGGTGGGACCGCAAACCGGGGTAGCGCACCTTGAAGCCATGCGACTCAAGGAACTCAGCAATGCGCTGGGCATTGCTCTGTTGCTGGTCCATGCGGACCTTCAACGTCTTCACACCACGCAGCAGCAGCCACGAGTCAAACGGTGACAAGCCGCAGCCTGATGCGTTGATCGTGAAGTAGAGGCGCTCTCCGAGCTGCAGGTCGTTTACAGCAATGACACCGGCCATCAGGTCGTGGTGTCCGGAGAGGTATTTGGTGCCACTCTCATAGACGACGTCGGCGCCAAAGTCCAGTGGGTTCAGGAGAAGAGGAGACATCATGGTGTTGTCCACAGAGACAATGCAGGCGGGGTTGGCTTCGTGGGCGGCGGTGGCAATCTTTCCGATATCGACGATCTTGATCAGGGGATTTGTGGGGGTCTCGAGTAGCACCATGGTTGTCTTCGAGCTCAGCACCTCCTGGACCTTCTCGGGATCTGTCGTGTCGACGTGGTGTACGACAATCCCACCATTGGTCGAGAGATACTTAAGCAGACGGTTGGTGCCACCGTAGAGGTCGTCACCAGTGACCACCTCGTCACCGGGGCGGAGAAGTCTTGTAATCACGTCCAAGGCTGCCATGCCGGAGGACACCACCAGGGCGCGCTGTGCCGACATAATCTTGGCCAAGTGACGCTCAAGATGTGTGCGAGTTGGGTTCCCGGACCGTGTGTAGTCATACTCTCCACCGCCGGCGTTGGAGGTTTGTTTGAAGGTAGCACTCTATGTGATTCAACATGATTAGTTTTTTCTGGTCCAATTTGAAGCGCCTTTGAGGCGCAAAGAATTAATCTGTACCTGATAGATAGGAACGCTGCTAGCATTGTATTGGTCACTGCCCTCAGTGAAAACCAGCTCGGTGGCAATATTGTATCGGCGACCAGCATGAGGGCTAGACGGGGCAGGGGAAGGTGGAAGGTCATTTCCTGACAGGTCAACCTGAGGGAAACCCTTCTTCACACCGCTGGATGACCCCGAGGCAGCATTGTGAAATCCGGATCCAGAAGCCGACATCGCTGTGGGCCAGAAAGAGGGGGAGTATACGTGTGTGTGTGGAGGGTGTAGAGGGCAATTGAAGATTGAAAACAAACAAGAGTCGAACGATGCGAATGGGCCAGAAGGTAGAAGAGGATTAAGAATAAAAACCAAAAAAGAAAAGAATCTCTAGCAGTTCACATCCCCGGACAAGCTGACTTGTCCGACCTGGCGCTGATTCGTTGAGCCACGGCCATTGCGATCTCGTCATCCGCTAGTCCCAATTTGGCATGCAGGTATGTGGAGATGTTATGAGTCAACATTGACTCCGTTGAAGGTGTTTGGAATTTGTGTACGGAGTACATTTGGATCATATTTGTAGAAGACTAAAAGGAAGACTATAAGAGAAACTGAGGATATTGGATATAAATGTTGGTATAGCTTGTCAAGCCACCAATGCTTCTTTGCCAAGACGTATCTTTTGGTCATCTCTATAAAAAAAAAGGCAGGACTTGAAAGTCAATTAGAAGCTGTGTAGTGTGATTTGAATACTCAGGAGAAATTCGTCAACTTTCGTTAATCATCGACCTGGCTCTCCACGATTCCCCTATCTGTATTCATGTTTGTCTAGATTTCTGTTGTCTAAGATCTGCAGAAGGATGCGCAAAGTACTTCAATACCTTCACCAGAGAGAAGCAAACAAAACTGGCGAAATCGGAAGCGACATTCGTCCATGAACGATCAAAACAGTTCTCAACTACACTGACTTTCGTTTAACCCCAAACATAGCCAATAATTGCCTGGACAAGCTCCTACACTGTGGATCAATCAGCCAACTCTTCATCGTTATCCTGTGGGGCCTGCCCGAGGCACGATAGTTCGATCAAGAGACAGATCTAGCAGATCGGAGGTTCTGGCCTGATGCTCTTGATTCACAAAGGTTAGTGTGCGCTTTAGGGGGAATGTGGGGGCCGGGGGGATATGAAGACTAGCAGTTGAATTTCATGTGCTCTACCAACTCCGTATGGATGCCAGTTCGGGAAGTTTCCCTAATATCCAAGGTCATACATAGAAAAGTCCATGTCACAAATCAAGCGTCTTTTCACTTATTTTTTTCGTAGTCTATCTACGAAACTGACGGGTACAAAAAATCCGTGGGAAAAAAACCATTGAAAGGACTCATGAAAGGACATCACAAGGCCGCAAACGCAGACGACTGTTCTTCTGACCCTAATTGGAGAATAACAGAGAAACACAAGAAAACAACAGGACTGCGAACCTCATCCAGATAATCATAAATCAGACCGTCACTAAGGATAGAACACACGAAAGAATCCCACAACGCTGCAGCCAAGCCCACCACACCCCAAGAGCACTCCATTTTGAGACCAGAAAAAAGGAAAGCCCCCCAAAAAGACAGTAGATACCAGCAGAGCAATTAGATGAATGAGATGAGAGTAAACAAAAATAAACCTGCGTGTGCTTTGTCCTCGAAAGCCCCCAAGTCCACTCTCGACAGGTAATGTGTGCGTAACAGCATTAATTTGAAGCGTAACATACTCCATCTAGATCAGAATTGTTTATCCCGCCAGATCGCTGAGACCGCCGTTAATGCCAAAGAATTGAAACCTGATGCGCGTTAGCAAAAGAAAATCCTTTTTTTCTAAACCAAAAGAAAAAAACTTGAATCGCAAGTTCTTTGGAGACTTACCAGTCCTCAACATTCAGCGTCGTTGGCGCAGTCGGCCCGCTACGGGAACTACTGCTCCAAGTATCATTGTCCTGGCTGGCAGCGTCCATCGTGGCTGCACTCATGGTGCTGTCGGCACCATGCAGGGGTGGCCAGGCTTGCTGATGATGACCTTCCATGCCGAACATCTGCTGCGATGAGTGGGGATGCATACTCATCGTGCCCGGCAGTCCCGACATTATCGTCGGGCTACCATGGGAGACAGACATGCCACGGCCCGAACCGGGGAGCGGCTGGGTGTTCATGGTAGGACTGGGGCGCGGGCCCATGCCCGGGGCCATTTGTGATGAGATCTGGAGGGATGGGTCGACTGTAGCGGGCTGGGGTGGCGAGGTCAGCTCCGGGAAGAAGGCGGTGCCGTCTGGGAAGAGTTGATCGGGTTGGAAGTTCTCCCAGAGGGAGGGGGAGAGGTTGGGCGAGGTGCGGGTTACTAGGAAGAAGTCGGGGGGTGTGGCGGGCAGAGAGAATTGGCCGTTGAACGGGGTTGTAGGCCTGGTGTTGGCGCGGGAATTACCCGTGCCGGTCATTGGATCGTGAGGACCGCGGTGGGTTTTGGGTGACTGTTGGCCGCCAGGAGGGGGTTGATTCAGTTCCCGGGAGGGGGTGACAGCGGGTGTCTGGGGCCGGGAGCGTTCGTATGACACGGAGGGTGTAGGCCCGCCACCATTTGGCATGCCGATATCCATATCGTCATATTTACGTTTCGGCGGATCGTGCCTCTTGGAGGAAGATGATTCTCCATGCCGCGTGCGCTGATGTCTTCGGCCTGCAGCTTTCTGCAGTCGTTCTTCCAATGCCTTGTTTCCGAGAATAGACTCAAACAAAGTATTCACCATCTTCGCCACCAGCCAGACCTTTGATACGTCCTTGAGGGCTAGCATGCAGACATTGATTCTTTCCTGGCAAGTGGTCACGATAGAAGGAACCGAGGAACGCATTTGGTAAACGTGCATAATCAAGGCCGAGAATAGACTGTAGACAATAAAGGCAGGGGTGTAACGGATCTCCCCATGTGCCTGTAGGTTCTCAACAATAGAGGTAATCATGCCTGCAGCCTGAAAGGCAATTGTTCGCGATGGATAGGCCATTTCTTCCACTCTGTAGTTATTGGGTGCGGATGAGGCAGGCGGCATATGAGCCCTGTGAAGAAGACAGAGCGTAGTGTAGTAATTAGAGTGCAAGAGAGCCGCCCAGAAATGATGCCGAGAGCGTTGCCAGCATACTTCTTTGGGACAGTTCTGCAACCAATCGGCGAGCGCCATATCCGAGTGGGTGAGATCCATTGCATTCATGCGCCGTGACTTAGAAGCCACAGAGTACTGCTGCGACAGAACCAAGCCCATGATCTCGCACAGCTTGACATATTGGAGGAAGAACTGGACATGAACAGGGTCTGCTGGGTATTCGGCAACACTGTCGAGCTCATCCTCAATGAAATCGTCCTCCGTAACCATCTCAACATCCGAGTCATCTGTATTGATTCCAATCGGTCGTCCCAGTGCGACAGCGACAGATCGATCCCGGGTGAACAGGGTCCACCAGATTCGCTTCCAGAGTCTTTTGTCTGGTTTGTTAAGCTGAGACATTTCGACGCTGCGGTGCATTCCAGACCCCTGAGCTACCACCATAGCGACCCGTGTCCAGTAGAATACGTTCTTAGTGACATCTGTAACTGGTCAGAACAGCCATTGAGGTAGACTAGTAGATTGCAAACTCGCCTTCTGGTCCCTCCCAGTACCAACCCAAAAGCACTAATGCCTGAACGATAGTGACACGGTCATCCTCGTAACTAGCATCGTACAGCGCCTTAGCACGCTTATAGAAAGTCATAGCCGCAGGGGTTGTCGAACCATTCGCATCCATAAGCTGCGGGTTAGTGCAGACTCTCGATCCTGCCAGCAGAATTGCCTGCAGCAGTAACAACGAGGGGGGGTTCTTCGGGTCACGGTAGTGACGCATGAAGCGACTCTTGTTGATTATCGGCACGACGGGTGCCACCCATTTGAAGTAGGCGTCGACCAACTCATCACACAGCGGTTTGGGCGGGAGCAGGAATGCGCCTCGCTGGTGCAAAATATCAATTTCCAAGTTGTCCAAGTCCGTCAAACGGGCGCGGGAGCCTCTCATATTCGGGGGGAGCGGGTAGTGGACGACATCTGCTGTTCCATGTCGGTCTTGAACCAGAAGAGACAGATTCGACGATTCACCCAAATATGCCACCCGGCCAGCCTCTTTAATTGGAGCACGGGCAAACTTTGGCTTCATAAATTGGGCATAGGCGTTATTGGCTGAAGCTTGCTGGGCTGCCTCGGCCTCGGAAAGGGCAGTATTGGACAGGCCGTCGACGCCTATGAGGTTGTTTCGGTATCCAAAGGCATTGTTCTTCATATCGGAGACCAACCCTTTCACCTTTTCCCTGGATGTGGAGACAGATCCAGATGCTGAATCGGCTGGCTCTTCAGTGCTCGTGGGTTGGAAGTGGGCAACTCCCGCGTCGGCGACCGAGGAGGTATTTTGCGGTGGACTGCCGTCATACTGAGTCTCTTCCTTGCTCTTGTTCTGATTGTTCTTCTTTCGTTTGGGGGACGGGATCTTGCAATCGATAGAGAAAGCGACACAATTGGTGCAGGGCACCCCGAGACTGGCTGCATCACATCGAACCTGGGCGACAGAGACGGTTAGAGCGTGGAACGAGAACAAAAAGAAGGCGGCGAGACCAAGAAAAAACTCACCTTGCGAGCATGGCATGTCTGATTGAGTCGAAAAAAGAAGTATCAGCTACATATCCAAATCGCAAGAAGGGAAGAGAGAATGTATCGCGATAAGGAACTGAGCCGAGGTGCGTTGAGAACCTCGGCCCCAGAGTCGCGTCTCCCTAAAAATCCAGACGTACCTCGCACGCGCGTGATGCACGTTGTCTAAGATAAGATAAAACGAATTAGCAAGCGCACAAAAATTCTTCACTTGGAAAGTTTCCCTTCAGGTACAAGGGAAGCGAAAAACCGAAAAAAAAACCCTGTCCCCCAATTTTGCGTTGCGCCCGCACCCCCGCGACAATCCGTTTATCAGGCTAGGACACCGTGTCGCCAATATGAAAAAATCACTGAACAGGTACCAGAAACGACCAGCTTACCTTCTGAAACTCAGAGGTTGGCCTTGTGGACCATTGCGCACCGTAATGCCCGAAGTCCCCGTCGAGCCCGCGTTGCTAGGAGCCGGGCTGGTATGGTTGTCCGATAGCTGGTCGGTATGGAATTCAGTGGTACTCATTGCCACACGGTCTCTCCATCAAGGAATTCAGACTGAATCGAGTCGGAGAAATAGGTGCTCTCGGAGGGGAAGGGAAAGCGGTAGGGAATAAAATGTGCTAGGCCCACGGGAGTACGGGGTACGGGGTATGAAGAATAGATGAAAGGGGAACCTTGAACACAGAAAATATACGCCACGCGATCAAGATAACAGAACAGAAAACCAACAAATGAGAAATAGTACTGGTGGAGGAGGGGAAAGAGGAAGGATTATCAAAAATTGGGGTGAAGTTGTGGCAATATCAATTTCTTGGTGGAGTTTCTATTTGGTCAGCATTTATACTCCCCTACTTGGATACTTTCAACATAGGTATGCTTCGAATTGATGGTTTTGTGTGTATACTTTCTTCTTACCATTGTTCAAATCTTCTCGAGGTTGTTCTCTTCTATTCCCTGCTTTCAACAACATACGTCTGCGAAATGGACGAAAAGGGGTAAAAAAAGGTGACCCTAAGAACCCAGGATTTAAAAGCCCATATGGCGCAGGGGATCACACCGAGCCCTCATCAACTAGGCGCTAGCTCGGTGCATGTAACGGAACACGGAACAAAAGCCACCAAAAGATGCACATTTGGAACCCTGCTGGAACTGGGGACCACAAAAAAACATGGAGAGAACGACAGATGGGGGTAGAAGACCGATGGAGGTATCCTGGTGGAATGCTCTTCTTAAAGGGAAACGGGATCACCGAATTTCTTATGTAACAAGCTCGGGAAGAGTAAAAACAATGTCGTCATTATACTCCGTATGATAATCTGTGTACACTACTACTATTTGAAGTGCCAATCCCCAACTGCCAATCATTTCACACTCCAGACACTAAACCGGCCCAAATTAGACCACCGCGTGGAAATACCGTTGCTTCAGCCTCCATTCGGGCTCCGGGGGGGTCATCCCGACTGAAAGTTTGGTTGCCGCGACGCGAAAGGTCCTAGATCCTACATTAGCTTCACGCGGGAAGATACGGAGGTGTTCAGGAATTGATGTATACTCTCATGTCGGGGATTTCTCTCAGGACTGAACTCGGAGACAATTTTCGGTCACGGGCCAAATTCGCGGGATGTGCGGATGCATATGCAGTGTGACCTGCTACTGCCCACTGGCCACCGCTTAGTGTATACATGTATAGGGGTTTTCTAGAGTAAACTAGTTAGGAACGTTGGGGGGGTTTTGTTTTTGGGCATGTATTAGTGTTGGAACCGGTTCAGACATACAACTCTGAAAGGTACGGAGTATAACATGGGTCATTACTGATCCCCTCGAATTCAACGGCGTCAAAGTTAAAGGAGATTGCGGAGAAAAGAAAACGTGGGGACCAAAGTGACCAGGGGAATAGTTGCGGGGGGAACACTCATTTCGCTATGAGCTACTCCGTACTATCATCGAAGTAGATTCTTCAGAAGTCCTGAACCTGTTGATGAGCCTCTGGCTTGTGATGCCTCGGCAACTTTGAGCTTTGACCAATGAGAGCGCCCCGTTAGCCTATTTCCGTTGAACTCATACGCCACTCCCTGTTGCTAAAGGATGCACGTAAAGAATAATCAGGTGCCAGGTATGTTCTTTTCTTTCACTAGGCCCGTTCGCCGGACATGCCCGGGGCGAAACGGCTGTACCTTGAGATCACCATCTGCATGTAGTCCGTGAGACGAGTGATGTTGCAAAGAGGAACAATAACGAATTGTGGACCCAATCTTCATGGAAAAAGGGTCTCCGAATTAGTGCCTTTCGTGGCCAGGCGGATCATACAATAAATTACATTGGAACGACCAGTTGAACAGAAGAATAGCCCTATGCAAGTGATGTGTGGGCAAGGGGCATTACACTAGTTTCACATCTCAACTATGACCCCCCGTTCTTTCCTGATTTGCCCTTGCCCTTACCCTTGGACTTGGATTTGGACTGTTTGACCCCATTGGACTGGGATTTCTTCGGCTCCTTGCGGTCCTCGTGGCCACACTCAGTGACTTCTTCGATGGTTTGGACTACGGCTGCCACCGTGGGAGCGAAGTTCACACCGCTGACAAGTTGCTCGCTGAGGAACTCTAGACCTGCCACGAAGGTGCAGAGGGCGCTTGCAATACAGAAATGGCTGATGGTCATGCCAATGTCAAGCCACGAGCCCTCGTCGCGCACCATGAAGAAGAAGTTGAGGGTCATGATGTCTGAGATCGCCATGACAACCATGAAGAGCGCACTAGGGGCGACCTCCAGGCGGCGGTTCAGGATCCCCAGATTGGCACTGATAATGGCGAAGGGGATGAGAATTTGGAGAATCAAAAGTGCGCCTTGGGCGAAGGGGTCGAAGACGGGGATAAGGCGGCGAACGCTGTCGAGGGAGAAGGTTGAAATTGAGGCCACATTTCCAGTGCTGAAAAAAGCCGATTGCAGAAGGAAAAAGAAGAAGAGTGCTACGCGGACATCGGAGAGAGTCAGGGTACGGTAGTAGAAAGTTGCACCGTCGACTGTCGTCATCCCAGAATTCTGAGGCTTCTTCAAGGCGCCTGCTGTGTGGACGTAAATGGCATGTTCCAGACGAACCCATGTCATTATGGTCATGCAGAATACAAAGTAGAACAGCCCTTCCCACGAGATTGTGAGTATGATAAATGTTGGCGAAAAGGTTAAGAAGATGATCATGAGTCGGTGCAGATAGTGGCTATTCGGATATAGACGGTGGAAGAATGGAAGCGTCAGGGAAGCAACTGAAAATGTTTAGCATTGCTCGGCGAAGGCACATGTAGTGGTCCTAGGACCCTCGGCTGTTTGAACTTACTTAGCACAACCCATCCAACCAGAATGTTTCCGAAAGGCAGACCTTGGCGGGCCTGAAGCGAAAGTACAGATGATCTAGTGACGATGACAGCAAGCAGAACCATGCCAAGCTGAATTCCCATGAGGACTCGCGAGCCGACACGGCCAGTAACATTTGGTTCTTTGGATTCCGGGTCACGATCTCCAATGATAGCATCCTCAAACAGCAAATACAAGATGCCAGTGAGGAACATGAGCAAACCGCCATATGTGCTGCCAACAGATTAGCCACGTGGAAATTGTTGTCGTAGAAAAGCAGCTTACATTGTATCAAGATTCTCGACCTTGATGACTGGCAGAAGAGTGAACGAACTCATCAGCCCGCAGCCAAGAGCCCAAGTCGCAGACAACAACGCATGGCTGCGAATGAAGCTAAGGCCATGGATTACAGGCCACAAGGCACCCAAGGCAAAGCAGACGGTGAAGATCTCGCGATGGAAATATGATTGAACCATTGCCTCCATCACACCAAGGAATGTCAGTAGCTGGAGTCCAAACTTGAGGTATCCAGTGGAAGAGTGCACGTGGCCCAATACAATGTGATGACCGGCAATCAGAGCCTTACGGCGCGCAAAAACCTCCTCCCAGAAATAAACCGGAAAGAATGCATAGAAATAGTAGCGCCAGGATGAGCCCTGGTAAAGGAATACCGAGAACAAGGCGACCAGGATTGACGAGAAGAATGAGATACTCATTATCGTCCGGTGAGAGTCGGATGTTCCATGCAAGACGTGCAGATCAATAACTGTTGTCAGCGCATACGCAATCCAACCCAGGTATCCAATGGAGACAATGGTCCTCAAGAACAGCCAGTCATATGTTTGTAGGTAGCGCAGACCCTCGAGAGCAACACGAAGAAGTTTGGCAGACACCACAATAGCCTCCTCGTGGTCACCACTAGAGATGAGTGCCTTGATTCTTGCCAGCCTGTCCTCAATCGAATTCTCGTGGTGCCCCGATAGAGGCTCATAAGGCACATATCGGATCACCGCGCCTCTCTTTTGCTCTTCTTTGACGTTGTACATCTCCAGAACCGCCTGAGTGTTGGCGAGAGCGGCCAGCGCCTTTTCATTGGGGCTCGCGTTGAGGTAGTCCAGCGGCAATTGACCAACAGAGTTGACGGGGAAGTCAAGTCCGACCAAATAGGCCATGAGCGCGGCAACATCGGCCTGTGCTACATCGTGTCGACGAACCTGGTCGAATCCCCAATCCGCCGAGAAACCATCTTCATGGCCCGCGGCAATCCCGCTAGCGGAAAGCTGGGGCTGCGCGACGCCAGATCCCCAGACAACTAACGGTGTCCGCGTATTGTCTGGATGACCGTCACCATGGCTGCCCGTGTCACTCATGCCATGGTCTGCGGTAAACACGAACGCCGTTTCATCATCTCCGTAGAAATCCTCTACTAGCTTCGCAACGGCCTGGACTCCTCGATCCACCACCTTAATGTTGTGTAGGTATTCGTTCGAGTAGGGCCGGAAAGAGTGACCAGTGGTATCCAGTCCAAGCAGGTGGAGGAAGAACACCAACTTGTCGTCTCGCAATTTCTGGTCTAATTCTGGGTCGTTCTTTGCCGATTCAAAGAGATCATGGACCTTGGAGAATACCCAAGTATCCAGATGTGTTGCATCGACGGTGAAGTCCTCCGCTTCTTCACTGTACATCTCCGCATCGACCCTGCCCGGCACAGCACCCTCCTTGAACATGGGCAGGATATCAGGACTGCCCCAGCTCCAAGTGTGTCGGCTCTGGTTGAACACGCTGTCGAAATTCACCGGATTCATCTTCCACCCCGTGGTGACTGAGGACACATCCTCATAGAGACCTGCGATAAGCGCAACATGGCCGGGTCGTGATTCAGTGGGGACGCGGGTGTGCGAGACACCGAATGTTCCGTGGGAGAGGACTTTCGAGCGGATGAATGGAGAGAGGCGTATCAACTCGTTGTTTTCTGGATCGGCGTCGGGGGACGGGTCGGGGAAAGCTTGAAAGGCCTTGTCGGCCCGTAGGCCGTCGGCAACAAAGAGAACGAGACGTTTAGCAGGTGCAGGGGCTCCGAATGGTCGCTCGACACCGTATGATCGCATACCACTAACAATTGGACTGACGAAGTAGATGTCAAAGATTGAGTATGTATAGATCAAGTGGAAGACCACTGCGAGGGCAAGAAACCCAACACGGCCGAGACGCGCCATGATCTATGTCTCCTAAATAATCAAGTTATAAAAGAGTGGAAGTGGTCCACGGCCACAAAGAAAGGTAGAGAAATTCACAAAAAAAAAGGAGATGAAAGGTTGGACAACACGTCAACCCGTCAACAGGGACGCATTGGGGAACTTGGCGGTGAGAACGAATCACAGGCCTTCTTTTGTTTATTCGACATCCAACAGTTGTTTTTCTAAATGCTGGTAGCAATTTCCCGGTCGATGCTCTGTATTGTCTTAACAGAGCTGGAAAAATGCACCTTGGCTTGAAGGTATCAAATACAGTGATGTAGAAAGAGATGTGGTGCTTATAGAATGGGTGTGGGGGTTCACACCTACTTTGAGAGGCTCGGAGGTATTGTAATAGTAAGAAGATGGTATCTAGCCAGGAAACAGCTCAGTTCAAGCCCGAGTTTCAAAATAATGGCCTATAGAATGATTCTCTTGAGAACTTGAGATGCCTTGCAGTTGATTTGTTGAAGGAGGACCTTGCGAAGCGTGTTTCACTGGGCAAAGGGCCCACTGACATGCATTTAGCACTGAGTAAAACGTAGGTATATAAGAATTCATGTAAAAACAACCTTGGAAGGTGGACTTGCTCTACATTGATGTTGTTGGTGATTGAAACAGCATGGAATTCCCAGTCCCAAAGAAACTCCCTGAAAATGAACACTCCTAGAAAAAGATTTCCAAAAATTGACATTTGGTATCGGCACTGCTATTGCGCTGGAAGAGATCGCCTCTTTGTGAGGGCATCAATGACGCGCGTATAAAATTTGGCGGCCTGTCCACGGACGAAGGTGATGTCCACGGCCAAGAAGTCTGGCAACAAGTTGATCAGGTCACGATCGCGGTTAGGATCCAAGTGAGGCAAGTATTGGAACTCGGTTTTGTCATAGTCAGTCGAGACCTTTGGCACGACTAGATGGAAGTGAAGAGCTGCAAGGGGGTTATAAAAATGCTCGCAATTGCTAGGGAGTTGAGCAACTTACTTCCGTTGATTCCAGTCTGGATACAATCGTAAAGGTAATCTAACTCTCTGTTCTTAACATCACGAACGATCAATCCTGTTAAGTCGCTGTATAAATCTTCTTTCAATTGCGCCAGCTGTGAAGCCTGCGCCGCTTCAGCGGTAGCAGCTGCATTAGCACGGTTGGAGGCGCCGCCCTTGATGGCACTGCCGGGGACCTTTGAAGCCCCCTCGAGACTGGCAGCTGTGTTCCGCGCCGCAGCGAGCTTGGTCTGTAAGGCTTTAACTTCAGACTGGGCAGATGCAAGCTGTTCTTGGGCTGCATCAGCGCTCGATTTGAGCCGAGCCAATTCATCATCACGGTCTTTGAGTTGTTTTTGGAGTCCACGGCTTTGCAGTCCTAGCTTTCGCTGGGCATCCATTTCGGCCCTGAGCGAAGAAACCAATTCATTCGATGCTAAGGATGTTTAAGTTCATCTGTCGTAGGAGCTGTGAGATAATAGAATAGCATACCTTTGGTAACAATCTCATTTTGCTTTCGCAATTTCTCCATGTTGGTGTTGGCCTCGACAATTCCAATCTCCCGTAGATTGCGAAATTTACTCTCCAAGGCATCATATTTCTTGGTCAGTTCACCTAGCCTGCGTCTCAGCTCTGGGTCTCCGCCCTGCTCGGATTCGGTGCCCCCAAGCTTGCGTTTTCGAGGAGAAGAATCTTGAGAGGTGCGTAACATGAATAGCCGAGAGCGAGCACTCTTCATGGGGGACATCGATTTGCGATTATATGCCGGTTCCTCGTGAATTATAGTCTCATCTACGAGCTCCGCTGCGGGTTGCTCGTTCGATTGAGAATCTTCAACTTCAGGTTCCTTTCTTCCCAGACTCGTTGCACGAGCAAGAGGGCTCAGCTCGGTTTGTTCTGTCCGAGTTTCCTTGAAACTAACGTGTCTCGAACCGCTCGGGGTAAACTGAAATTCACCATCTGTTTGGGGCTGTGTGCTGACCGCACGAGGTCGTCCTCGACCGCGTGCTGGGGCAGCCTTTGGGGCCTTGGGTAGCTGCTTCTTTATATTCCTTGAGACGAATGGGTCTTCGTTCTCCTGTTTGTCTGCATCATCCTTCTCTGGTACCATATCCTCCGCCTCGGTTGCCTGCGCAGATGTTTCCGTGTCTTCGGCTACACTGCTGTTTCCTCTGGGCCGTCCTCGGCGGGCGGGCTTTTTGTTTGTAGCAGGTTCTGGCTCAGCTGCAGCTACAGTTGCTTGCTGCTTTTTTGTGCGAGTAGCAGGCTTGGTAGATTTGGTCTCGGTCACATTCTCGTTTGAGGTACGCGGTCTTCCTCTCCGTTTTTTGGCGGGAGGCTCGTGAGTTTCTTGTGTCTCTGTCGCTTCGACTTGCATGATGTCCTCGTCATCTGAGCCTAATAGACCAGAGAGTTTGGGAGGAGCTTTCCTTTTAGGCATTGTGCAATGTACCTAAGTGAAGTTGTTTGATGACATTTATATAATCGCGGGACGCGCGCACCGACAACAACAGTC